CCAAGATCCAATTCTTTGGGAAAGGGATGCAGGTCAATCTTCTCTAACTGCTTCCTGCTGACAAAGGTGGGGGGTGGTTGTTCTGTGGGTCTTGGCCACTTGCTAGCTGTCAGGGCAGGGTGGCTCCATGGGTTGGTGAAAGTGGTATTCAGCCAGGTCCAAGGGCGGCAGGGGCAGGGTTTTACCTCTGTCATGTCCCTCTACTGGGCAGTCTAGGGGTCCTCTGTAGAAGGGTGTCTTGAATATTGAGAGGACGTCATCCCTCACTGAGAATCATCTGGAACTTGATGACCCAAAGGTAAGAGGAGACAAATGGGGTTATTAGATGTAAAAGACATGGACCGCCAGGCGCGGTGGCTCACGCCTGTAATCCCAGCGCTCTGGGAGGCCGAGGCGGGTGGATCACGAGGTCAAGAGATCGAGACCATCCTGGTCAACATGGTGAAACCCCGTCTCTACTAAAAATACAAAAAATTAGCTGGGCATGGTGGCGCGTGCCTGTAATCCCAGCTACTCAGGAGGCTGAGGCAGGAGAATTGCCTGAACCCAGGAGGCAGAGGTTGCAGTGAGCCGAGATTGTGCCATTGCACTCCAGCCTGGGTAACAAGAGCGAAACTCCGTCTCAAAAAAAAAAAAGAAGACATGGACCAAAAAGGAGCAAAAATAGAAGACTAACAAGTGGACCTAAAAAGAGAAGAACCCAGGAGAATGATTTCCAGGTTTCTTCCCAATTTTGCCAACTCTGAGAGCCTTGTTCCTCCTGTAAACCGGAGGCTCGATTTAGGGGTGGTCTGATGTTGTCTCATACTTTTCCTAGTTAATTTACACAAAAGCAACATTTTTCATCTAAGGCTAAACAAATTGTACTAGCCATTAACATCTCTAGTCCTTGGCTATTTTGGGGATTACAGCTGCTAGAGAGTTGATTTGTTCTTGAAAGTTTGTTAAGGTTTTGGCCATGGCCTCAATGTTGTTGATTTCCTTGAGAGTTGGCTGTAGGTTAAGGAGGCTTTTGTGATTCCAGTTCCTTTTCTGGCTATGATGCCAAATCCAGTGAGAAAGGGAATTAATTGGATAGCCCTCTTCACCCTGGGCAAGACGGAATGCCAGTGTATTGGTACAGGAAGAGGGAGATTGTGAAGGGCTATGAAGATATTCAGGGATACATATCCTATGACACAAGTTCCAGACTAGTTAGTGGAAAGGCATTGGTGAACTGATTGGCCACAAATGTAGAAGACTTCTTGAGTTTTCAGACAAGTAGAGATTTTAAAAAGAAATAAAAGACTTTTTAGCTAGGGGTCCTGGCTAACTGTATTTTTCTAAGCTTTACTTAGAATTTAATGGTTTTAAAGCAGGCAAGTTGCATAGTTATTAAGAGTCATCGTACCAGTTTATGACCTTAAAGCATGTAGTAGACCTAATGACCTTTGAAACTGTACATTTTTAGTGATTTCCCTTTCACAAATTCATGGACCAGCTATGACATGCTTGGACTTTTCTGACTTGTCCTAAATATCTCTCTTTTAAAACAACCAGTCATTTTGCTTTCTGACAAGAATTTACCATACAGGATCCTTTCTCATATAAAATATCTTTTCTTTATAATGTTCCTTACCAAAAATACCTCTTTATCTTTATAACCTTTGAATTAGGCAAAAGTCACTTTCCTCCTATTAGGAAGTTGTGGCTTGTGCTACATGTTGCTCGCAAGTCCTGTGAAGGGGAGCAGATAAGGAGGTTATCACTGTAGACATTATCCCCCCTCAAGAGATTTCTCAGTTAGATTTCTTGCTAGGGCTTGTCTGAATAAGTGTGGGCTGTTTTTAAACTCCTGAAGGGAATTTATTAAAGTTATTGGTTAAAGATTTAGGTAGCTCTCCCAGAAGAATTAGGGCCATTAGAAGGAAGGACGAATTTAAAGGTTGGGTAAATATTACAGAGGCACCCATCTTGGAAAGTATATTTTTGCCCCAAAGGGGAGTGAATCTTTTCTTTCGTGGGGGAGGGGCTGCCATTTTCCCCCAGTACCCAATAGGATTTGGAGAAGAGTTGCTCCAAAAAGGAGATTAGCACAGAGTAGGCAGCTCTTGAACCCAAAAGGAAAATTTTACTTGACACCTGCAAGAGTTGCCATTGATGACAATGTCTTATTGACAGTGATGTCTGATTTGGAAGCCAGTTGAGCAGAGGGCTCCTTCAGCTCACATCATTCAGGGGATGGGATTCTGTCCCAGGGGCCATTAGGGCAGTCCCATTTCCAGTGGCTGAGCTTGTGGCAGAGGGGGCAAGCTGTGCAGGGCTTTTTCCCATTGATCCCATTGGCCCAATTTGCCTTCCAGCAGCCTGGCTTCCGATGACAATGGCAGTTCCCTGGAGGAGAGCCCTTAGCGTAATCTAGAGGGGGCTGGGGGATTATAACACAGCCTGTATATGACCTGCCTCTTGTTCTTGAATTTCTCCTTTTCCTTAACCCTGTCCTCCTTGTCCTGATCTAGATCATAAAAGACTGAGGAGGCTAATTTGAGGATTTCCTGCATTTGGGCAACTGGATTCTAAGGCTGACTTTTGTAATTTTTTCCCCAGTTTATTTTTAGGCCAAACAGTATTACAAAGGAAAACTCGTTTTTTTTGTTGTTGCTGTTGTCTTAAGGTTTGTGGAATCAAACTTTTCCCAGCTCTTCAGGATGCATCCAAGGGGAATGTCCTGTGTTATGGAGACACAATTCCTCATCTGCAAAGGGAGAACAGAGGAGAAAAAGGAAAAAGAAGGTATCCCTCTGTTATCCTTTTCTGAACAGGGCATCTTCCATTCATCCTTAGGGTTCCAGAATGAGCCAGTCTTACCGGGTACCCTTAACCTTGGTTCCATCTCACCACGATTTTTCTGTACCAACTGACATCTCAGACTGCAAGTGATTTCTCCAAGATGTTCTTGAATTAATAATGGCAATAGGTCTCCTGAGAGGAAAGTGGTTGCTTTCTAAAAAGGGTCTCCAGTATGCTTCTTGGGTGCCCGCAGAAGGAGCCAATGCCCATCATGCTGGGGATGTGCCATAGATTTCCAGAACTGTAGCCTCTGCTCTGTCTGAGGTGAAGTGAAAACAAGTAAGACTTGTACATTAAGCTCTTGATCCTATGCCCAGCACAGAGTAGGCACTCAATGAAAATTTGTTGAATGGATGGATGCATTGGCTCTTAGCTATCATGTATGTTCATGATAGCTAAGTCTGATGTTCAGAGATTTTTGTTGAGGATTTACTCCCCTACTCCCTATATTTTCCATGGCGTTTCCTGGGATGTCTGGAATTGCCCTATGATGGTTTATGGCTGAATGCTTTGCTCCTTTCTAAATGTCATTAGCATTCAACATGAAAGAAGGCTCTGGAGAACCAGTGGGAGACAGGAGTGACTTTTCCATGCTTGCTGTGTTTCTTGCTGTCTGCACTTGGAACAGTGGCATCCTTCAGGGCAGGGACTGGGCGTCTCATCTGTGTGTCCTCTGGGCCTTGCACTGTGCTTAGTGCATGCCAGACACTCAGGAATAAGCTCTGAACAAGTGCCTGAGAGAGGACACTTTCATCTCTTTAGTAATGAGCACTGGGCTTGGCACACAGTAGGTGCTCCATAAGGGCTTATTCCATGGAAGGCCAAACATGATTTCTCAGGAATACTGGGAAGTGAGAAGCATTTTGATCCCTGGAAAAGGCCACCAGGCTAGATAAAGAGGATTTCAAATATCTTTCAATAAATAAGAACCATGGCTGACGCACTTTCTTCCAAAATGTTCATTTCCCCTCCGCTGACTCAGCCCCTGGCCATTGACAGAGCAGTTGTTTCTCTGTGAGTTTCTGGAGGACTTCCTACAGAGGGATGCCAGGGCCTGCACCCAGGCTCTTGAAAGAGAACTGAAGCACTGTGAAATGCTGGGCCTAGGCAGCCGGAGGCAGTGGGACATCTGGCCTCTTCCCCCACCTTCTGAGTCCAGCCAGGAAGAAGGCCAGTGTCCTCTGTCTAACATTTTCTCAGTGCCAAGCCTTTACCAGCAGACTCCAACTGCATCCATGCACGATCCTGGAGGGCAGGTGTCATCCCCACTTTACTGATGGGAAACTAATTATCAGGAGTGTTGACTAACTGGCCCAAGTGCCTGGAGGGGAAGTAGGAGAGCTGGCATCCGCACCAGCTCCAGAGCTGTGCTCACACTCTGACGCTGCCTCCCACAAGATGGGAGCAGGGTGTCAACACACAATGATGCCAGTACTCATTCTGGTGCCCGCCAGTCCTGGGTGTACCCCGTGGGGACCTGTAGTACCTCCATTTATGGAGGAAGGAAGATGCCCAAGCCACCCAGCTCAGGTGGAGACCTGAGTCTGGAAACAGGCCCTGAGGCCCAAGGCCGGGCTCTCCTAACCTCTTCCACACCTGCCTCACAGTGGCCACAATATTCCTGGCGTAGACCACCCAGCGGTCTCCCTGCCTCCCCTCAAGTCCTGTCTCTCTTCAGGTTTTCCCACCCCAGTCCCACCACACCTCAACTGTCTGTTTCTTTTTACATCTCAGATCTGGTCATGCCAGTGCCCATACGAGGCCCACCGGCACCCCTTCTGGGAGATGTTCTGTTTTCCAAGAATAGACACAATCACAAAAGCCATTTATCTTGGAAACACTTCACACAAATACTTTCTTAATTAAATTCCATCTCTATCTTAGCGCCTACGAATGTAAGCCCTACTAATAAAATTCCATCTCTATTTCACTAGGTGTATTAAACACCTACCATGTGCCAGGACCTGTGGGAAGTGCAGGTGGGTACCGTGGGAGCACTCAGGAGAGCTGCTGACCTCACGGGTGTGGTGGTTAAGCAGCTGGGGAAGCGGGACCCGCACTCACCCTTGAACCCTCAACTCACCCTGTGCATCAGTACAAGGCCAGGGCAGCACCTTTAATCAACCCATTTACCCTTGAGAGACGGAGGCTCAAAGGGCTGAGCGGCTTACCTCGGTGTTAGGTAGAGGAGCCTGAATCAGCCCAGGTCTCTGTTTTTCCCACAGTGAACACCATGACGGGACATGCACAAAGGCAGGTGCACAGGCGGCGCTGAATTCAGGCTGAGACTGGCGCTCAGTGGTGGCATGGTGGCAGTTGACTCTGAACAACCTCCAGGATTCATCTCTCCTCATTCACAGTGTGCCTATGAGATCCCAGGAAACAAAAACACGAGGAGGAGACTGAGTCTCAGATCACCAGCTGTGTCACCTGGGACAAGGTACTTGAGTTTCTTAGCCTCATTGTCCCACCTAGGAACGTGGACAGTGTGGCTATGAAGAGGAAGGAGTGAACTGGATGAATCCCACACACATGCTCTGTTCCCATGCACAGGGGGTTCCCTGTAAGCCCTGTGGGGAGGAGAAGGGCGGGAGGTGAGCTCTGGGCTGGACTCTGCATGTGGGCAGCGCTGAGGTCCCACCCCCCAGCCCTTTCCTCCAGGGAACATTGTGGGTACCATGGCGGATGGGGACATGCATTAATTCTTCCTGGGGCTCAGAGGCTGCCCTAAGAACTTGATGGGTGATAGCTTATTTAATGCTGACAGCAACCCTAGGAAAAAGTGCCATTGTTGTCTCTTTTTGACAGGTGGGGAAACTGAGGGCTGGAGAGGTTGAGAGATGTCCTCACCCAGGTGACAGGGCTGAAGATGAGAGAAGAGGTCTGAGCACAGGTGGTGTGATGTCAGTGCCTCTGCCCTTGACTGCATGTGAGGAGCTGGGGGCTCAGCCGTGGGGGCGGGTGGGGAACTTCCATTATGTGAATACTTCCATTCTGTGAGTACTTCCATTATGCTCGAAGTACTCACAGCTGACACTCAGCAACAGCCAAGGTGTGTCAGAACTATTTCTCCTCCAGTTCCCCTTAGATCTAAGAAAGACCGTGGACAGGCACAGTGCCTCATGCCTGTAATCCCAGCACTTAGGGAAGCCAAGGTGGGCAGATCACCTGAGATTGGGAGTTTGAGAGCAGCCTGACCAACATGGAGAAATCCTGTCTCTACTACAAATACAAAATAAGCCAGGAGTGGTGGCGCATGACTGTAATCCAGCTATTTGGGAGGCTGAGGCAGGAGAATTGCTGGAACCTGGGAGGGGTAGGTTGCGGTGAGCTGAGATCATGACATTGCACTCCAGCCTGGGCAACAAGAGCGAAACTCCATCAGAAAGGAAAGAAAGAAAGAAAGAGAGAACAAAAGAACGAAAACGTTTGGATACCAGCAGTCATTGCTAAGCCTGTGTATTCCAAGCAGAGAAGTAAAAAGGAGAGAAAGCAGGAAAAATGGGGGTGGAGATGGGTTTTACACAGAAATCTACTGTCCTGGGAACTTCTTGGCGTCTGTCTTCATGGGAAGGGGAGTGGTGAAGCGAACAACCTGAGGAACTGGGGAGCGTGTGACTGTGGTTCAAGGTGTGCTGCATTTGGAGGACAGAGAGGAAGGGAGGAGGCCTAGTCTGCTCTGGCTGCCATGGCAAAATACCATCGGCTGGGCAGCTTACGCAACAGAAATGCATTCCTTGCAGTCCTGGAGCTGGAAGTCTGAGATCAAAGTGCTGGCCAGTCTGGTTTTTGATAAGGGCTCACTTTTTGGCTTGCAAACAGCTGCCTCTCTGTCCTCAAATGATGGAGAGCAGAAAGGAGAAGGAGGGAGTGGGGAGAGAAAGAGAGAGATAGCGCTCCACCTTGGGTGTCTCTTCCTACAGGGACACTAATCTTTTTGGATCAGGGCTCCACCCTTACAACCTGATTTAACCTGAATTATCTCCTTACTCCACATACAGCCACACTTGGGGTTAGGGCTTCAATGTATGAATTTGGGGGAACACAATCTAGTTTGTAGCATGAGGGAGTTGAGAAGGTGACATTTTAGGCATCCACAGCGGAGAGTTTGTATGTGGGGAGAAGGCTTCCTGGGGTCCATCAGAGAGATTCCCTCCTCTGACACCTCTAGCGTGCCTCAGTTTCTTTATCTATAAAGTGAAACTATACAACTTCCTCATAGGATTCCTGTGAGATGATAATGAGAAAATGTATCTCAAATGCTCAGCACAGGGCCTTGCATACAGGAGGTGTTTCTCTTCTCAGCGAGGAGGGTGGAGTGGGGTCTATTGCCCACCTGGCAACGGCTGGGCCTGGGACTTGCTTCCAGCAATGGAATGTGTGGAAAGGACACTGGATGTCAGAGCCGGGGCCCCAGGTGCCTTGCAGCCTCCCCTGTCACCTCTCTTGTGAATAAGCCTGAGCCAGCCCGTTGGGTCATGAGAGTGAGGCAGAGGAGAATGAGGAGACATAGGAGTCAGAATATTTTAGTTGACCATGCAGGTGCTAGCTGGTCACTGACTTTTGGGGGAGCCCAGCAAATATCAACCTGGCTGACCCAGACCAGGACCATTACCCAGTTGACTGATGGAATTATGAGCTAAAAAAAAAAAAAATGGTCGTGGCTATAAGCCATTACATTCTGGAGAGCTTTGTTTTGTTTATACGCCCAGTCAAAGCAAAGTGGTAGCTATATTATCTGCCCATATGGCTGGTGTGTGACTGCATTGTAATTGGCAAAGATCATGGCAGGTATGAGGGATTTTATCTTTCTCTTAAACTGGGAGAGGACCTCTGAACTACTATTGAGGTTCACAACATCAGATTGTTCTATGGCCTTACCTTTTCTTTTCCTTTGAATATTTAATTATCTGAATATAAAAATTAGGTAAACTGTGTACATGTTCTCTGTGCAAAAACCTGGAACATCTGAGTCAAGTCTCTTTTGACCACGTGGGTCTTGTGGTCCTCTCCCCGGAGTAATCCTGATTCCCAATTTCTTCCTGTGCATTTACCTTTCTCTCTGTGGACCTGTAGACACTGCAAAGCAGAGTTTTCCATCTTCTGAATGGCATTATGTCAATGTTTTTTAAGCATTTGCACTTTTGCCCAGTGATTACATTTTGGAGAACCTTTATCTAGGTGAGGGCGGCCTCTCCGCTGATGGGTGCCAGCTCTCCCGCCCTAGGCTAGGCACAGGCGCACTCTTAGTGGGTTGTTGTCAAGGGAACACCTGAAAGAACACAGGTGGGCAGTGACATTGTCATCCCACCCAGCTAGCAGCCTGCTCTGGCACAGCTGCTTCACGGGTTGCACACCCACGACTCTGAGGTGAGTCCTGGGGGCCCCGCCTAGAGCTCCAGGGAGGGCCACAACGCACACAGCCCTGACATCTCTTGGGAGGATGGGAAGAGGAACTTTAAGGGCCACGGTCATTTCCATGGGCACCAGGCTTACTGTGCTTGCACAGATTGGAGCAGGGGGATAGGCTTCGGCAACTTGGGGGAGGAGTGTCTGAGGTGGCGGCAGCGCCCCTTCGGAGGATCAGAGCACCTGTGCCGTGGCCTGCCCAGGTCTGGGAGGGGAGGGTGGGTTTCTCAGCTGCTCTGGTTTATATCCACACACGGATGGGGCCTGGTGCAAAGTCTCAGTACAGACCGTTTCTAGGGCAAGGTCTAGGGCAGGTGTCTAAGGGACCTGAAAAATGGGAGCCTGAAGTCCCAGGAGCGCCCAGTGCATCCTGCTGCTCACTGCTCTCCAGCCCATTAGACTCACAGGCCAGATCAGGCCATTCCCCACAGCACAGCTAAATGCCAAGCAGCCTGTCTTCTGCCTGAAGCTCGTTTCCTGTGACATCAGTCACGCTGTGAGCTGGGAGTCCAAAGGACACAGGTGTCGTGCCTTTCCGACTTTCTTCCTCCCTGCCCCCGGCCATCCTCCAGACATGATCGATTGAGGGGCAGCGGTATGCCAGGCAGTGTGGCAGGCACTGAGGATTTTGGGGGCCCAAGTCAAGCAGAAGGGTCCCTGCCCTCCTGGAGCTTACGATCTAGTTGAGGACAAATATGTAGCTGGAAGATGGTGAAGGCCTTTGAGAAAATCACAGCAGCAACTCCAACAAAGTGAGTTGGTCTGGGCCCCAGGGCAGAGCCAGCCATGGCAAACCAGAGGAAGAAGATGCTGGGTTGGGAGTCAGGGTGGGGCGGACCCTGAGACTGGGCAGAATCTAAAGGTAAGGAGGCCATGCTGTACGGGGGCGGGAGGGATCAAGTCCTCACAGGGCAGGCTCTCCCAATGCCGACAGCTAAATAGGGTGACCAACTGTCTCAGATTGCCTAGGACCTAAGGGCTTCCCTGGACATGGGCTTTTAGTGCTAAAACCAGAAAGTCCTGGGCAAACAGGGATGAGTCGGTCACCCTGGGGCTGGGTCACTGGACAAAGCGTCCCAGAGGTGAGCCCAGCTATAGCTGCACCCGGAATGCAGTGTGGTCTGAAGCAGCTCAGGAGAAGCCTGTGGGCGGGTGACTGCGTCCCTGACTGCTTTACCAGTGCAGGGAATGATTTAGCTGGCTGGCCACCCACTACCAGCCTGAGATAACTTTTGCTTTTGCCACTTGCTGCCTGAAACCAATGACGCAAGCCGAGGCATGTAAATAATGACTTCACAGCACCCTGGCCTGCTTCCTGTGGTTGGGCAAGTCTGGAAGGGGCCTGCCCGGGGATGCAATTACTGTAATCTCTGCCATATGGCCTCCTTCCCTTCCTCGCATGGTCAGAGATCACTCCTCATTTCCTCCAGGAGCGTCCTGCGGTACCAGGCCTCCCTGGGGCCAGAAAGAGGTGGGAGGTAGATAGGGGCGGAGGTTCGGAAGCCCCGGTATTGACTGAGTGGCAGTGGCTCCCACTTGCTGAGCTCCAAGCTGTGCCCCAGGGACCAGATGCTTAGAAGCCTCATCTCAGTTCATCCCTACAGCGATCCTCTAGGGGAGGTGCTTGTGGTAAGGTTTCCTACATCTGCTGTAACCAATGACTGCAAATTTAGTGCTTAAAACAGCATCAGTTTAGTATCTTACAGTTCTGGAACTAGATGTCCAAAGTTAGTCTCACTGGGCTAAAGTCAAGGTGTTGGTGGGGCTGGGTCTTTCTGGACGCTCCGGGGAATATTCGTTTCCTTGCCTTTCCTGGCTTGGAGAGGTGGCCCACACTCCCGGGCTTGTGGCCCCTTCCTTCCATTACTCCAACCTCTGGCTTCCTTTGTTACATTCTGACGCTGTAACAAAGAAACAGCATGACTGGGGGGTCATGGTGGCCCCCAGCTTCCTCTCATGGGGTCCCTTGTGATGAAACCAGGCCCACCTGGATAATGCAGGATGATCTCTCATCTCAAGATCCTGACTCAGTCACATTTTCAGAGTCCCTTTTGCCATCCAAGGTAACATATTCATGGGTACAAGGGGTATCTTTGAGGACCTTTATCAGCCTAGCACAGTGCTACTCTTTTTTTTTTTTTTTTTTTTTGAGATGGAGTTTCACTCTTGTTGCCCGGACTGTAGTGCAATGGCATGATCTTGGCTCACTGCAACCTCCGCCCTCCGGGTTCAAGCGATTTTCCTGCCTCAGTCTCCTGAGTAGCTGGGATTACAGGCACCCACCACCATGCCCAGCTAATTTTTTTTTTAGTAGAGATGGAACTCCATCTCTATGTTTGCCAGGCTAGTCTTGAACTCCTGACCACAGGTGATCTGCCCACCTTGACCTCCCAGAGTGCTGGGATTATATATTTGAGCCACTACCCCTGGCCCACAGTGCTACTCTTGCTCCCATTTTACTGATGAGGAAATTGAGGCTCAGATAATTGTGTCTCTTGCCCAAGGTCAGGGCCAGGATGGGAATCCAGTCCAGGTCCTGAAGGGCCACCACATTAGTTCATATGGTTCATGGGTTCCTTTATGAAAACTAAGAGGAGGTGCTTTTCCTCTGGGCACAGGTGGTACGCACTGGGTACATAGCTTGGTGAGAGGCATGATCTGGACGTCAGCCCCTGGATGTCCGTAGGTCAGTTGCTTCTGTATAGTGACGCCTGTCACCGTGCAGCCAGATGCGGCCTCTAAGGCTGTTTCCGTCCATCTCTCTTAACCCAGGGGCTAATGATAAGTGACCTACTTGGGGTAAAGATGGGATGATAGGACAAACGACTGTGGGGCTGCCTTCTCAGTGCCAGTTGTGTATAGGACTGCTTCCACCTAAGCTCCCTAGGGGCAGCTGTCCCCAAAGATAACAAAAGGGAGGGTGGAGTAGAGAGACCCTCCTGCTGGGCTGGCCAGGTGACCTACCGGCTCTTTAAGAAGAGTTAACCCTCAGACTCAACTTCTCGGGTGAGATTAGCAAACTTTTTCTACAGAGGGCCAGACCATAATTATTTTTTACTTTGCTGGCTATATGGCCTCTGTTGCAAGTACTCAGCTCCCATTGCAGTGCTTAAACAGCTATGAGCAAGGAATAAACTCATGGGTGTAGCTGTGTTTCAATAAAACTTTATTTACAAAATCAGGCAGTGGGCCAGACTTGGCCTCTGCCTTAGTGCACTCGCCTTTCTGTTGCCTCCTCCTAAATACTAACCAAGGAGAAAGGTGCTACCAAAAGAATTCTAAAGCAGATGAGGGCCTGTCCAACTCTTCCAACCACGAGGGAATGAGTTTTAGTGGGAGGTGGGCTGCTTTGGTGAGCAGTGAGCCCCCACAGTGGCAATCTCTGCTAGGATCTGTGAGCACACACTGTGTATAAGGCCAGCTGCTGACATCACCTCCTTAAATCCATAGGATGCTCCTGCACTGTTTTCCCAGGAAATAGAATCGGAAACAACCTCACATCCCCCACCATCATATCTAATACAAAGGTGGGGATGGGGTGACTTTGATGGGATTTCATAAATATTTACAGATCTAGAGTCAGCCTGAAATTTATAGGCTGGCTTATAATTTCATCTATTCCTTTCCAAACAGATGTTCTTTAAGTCCAAGTTTGCAAACACAACACCTACAGAGCCAGACAAATAAGATGAGGCCAAAGCCAGCTGCTGTAGAACAACCTGGAGCTTCAGGGAGGCTTCCCTTAACTCACACTGGGCCAGGGCTACTGAGCAAGTGGAGGGCAACATGCCATTTGTCAGAACGTTTTAAAGATATGATTCAGCTAATGAATTGTGAGCAAAATATGTCCTCTTCTTTTACCTGGACAGATATACCTTTGCACCCTGGAAGGAAGGCTGGGTTTGAATATAGCCTCCTGGGAATCTGTGATGGTGACGTTCACGTCAACTTGACTAAGCTACGGTGGTCCAGTTATTTGGTTACCATAAGCTGGTGCTGTGAAATGTATTTTTTTGATGTGATTGACATTTAAGTTACTAGACGTTGAGTTAAGCAGACGACCTTCCATCTTGTGGATGGGCCTCGTTGTGGGTGGGCCTCGTCTAATCCTTTGAAGACCTCAGGATACAGACTTTCCCTAAAGAGGAAGGAGTTCTCAAGACTGAAACACAAAAACTTTGCTTGAGTTTCCAGCCAATTGCCCCGTGGAATTTGGACCTAAGATGGCAATATCTGGCCTACCAGCCTGCCCTACACATTTCAGCCAGCCCTATTTACCAGGTCCCACAATTGCACAAACTAAAATTCCTTATTTCTTAAAATAAATCTCTGCCCCCATGTACACACACACACACACACACACACCACTACATGGGTCCATTTCTCTTGTGAATTTGAATAGCTGCTTTTTAGGATTCTGTGCTGGGGTGTGGTGGCCCCCCTTGTCTTCCCACCCACAGTTTGAACATCTTGAACATGACCTCTCACCACATCACAGACAGCCGCTCCTGAACCGTGGCAGTCAGCTCTCAACAATATGAACACAGACAGAATTCTGGGGTGCAGAGTATGGAAGTGTGATGTAAAAGGGGGAGGGCAGAGCCAGGTGGCCTTTGGAGCTCTTGCCTTATGCGGAAGGACTATGTAAGAGGAGGACAGGGAGGGCCTTTAAAACAGGGGCACAGGGCAGGCTCCCCTCTTGCCTGGGCTGTGGGGCTGGCATTTGAAGCACGGGCAGGCAGCTGCTGTGTGAATCTTTCCATTTTGTCCAGAAAAGCCAGAAATCTAAATTTTCTGTTGCTGTTATTAACTAGTTTAAGTGAGTTTCACAACAAGGTGCAGGCTGAAGGCGTTTCTGGGAATGTTCTGCTTCTTGGCCCAATCTCTGGGTTTATGGGGTGTGAGGACTTTGTAAACATTTGTTGAATGGTATACACATTTTTCTTTCTGTATGTCACACTTCAACGCAAAGCTTTATTCAAACAAAGCAGAGCGATGCCCGGTTCCATCAGAGGAGATCTGTAGACTGTGTTCACCCTGTTCACCTGTCTGGGCCCTGGCTTAGAAGGTTTGCTTGGCATTTATTTAGGGGGTGGGGCAGGGTGATCCCGGGGGGTTGTCAGTTTCCTCTCTGAGACCTCATGGTTTAGGGGCTGTTCCTCATACGGGAACACGATTTCCTGAAAGGTATGGGCGGGTGGGGGGGGGGAATCTCAGAGCTTCTGTTTTCCTCGGCAGCCACCAGCGGGCGACAACCCACAGACCCCAGAGGCTTCCGGGGTCTGTTCCCATCCCTAACGCCACACTGCCCCCTGTTGGTCCTGGCTCACTGCATTTTTCCATCCGGCTGATTTTCTAGGCTCAGCAACTCACAATTGCCCCTGGGGGCAATTTTGGGAAGACACTAAATGCTTCGGGGTTTCTTGGACAAGGTAGGATTTTGAATGAGTTTCCAGGGAGTCAAAAACTGAGTGTAGACAAACATAATACTCCTTGTAGGAGGAGAGCACAGGTAGGGAGGTGGGAGGGCATCTCAGCCATACCACGTGCTCCTCTGAAGGCAGACCCAGCTCACATGGCCCCCTGATCCTGCAGACCTATGGGTGTAAGGGAGCCCAGGAACTCATGGCTCTGAGCGGCCCGCCAGGGATTCTGCTCCTGATCCAGCTTCAAGCAGCACTTGGAGCCAGCTGGTGGGAGTCACACGGGGTCATCGCACAGCCACGTGTCCGCGGCTGGCCAGTCATCCATCACACGGTGTTTTCAGGTTCACATTTGCCCAGTAGTGCTCTTGCCTTCTCCCCTAAACAAAAGGAACCCTAAGCATGCTGCAAGATGGGGGAAGCCTTCAGTGCATGTAAGAACACCTTTGTCAGTGGCTTTGTAACAATTATCTATTTCACAGGGTGGAAGGAGTCGCAGTTGGGGGCAGACCCAGTAGCAACTGGGCTCTGTGTTTCTCCTCTTCAGGGCTATCTGGATGGACATGAGGCTTCCATCCTAGGATACACACGGTCGGCTTACAGAGCAAGAGAAAGGAAGGACAAGGCTCAGGTGAGAGGGAGGATGACACTCAGGCTATGGCTGCTGTGGTCAGTGTTTACAATGACTCTGGGCTGCAGAGAGCTCTCTAAGGCTTTGGCGTTAATGTCTAGCTTCTGAAGACAGATTGCCAATTGCAGTCCCAGCATCTAATTAATCATTGGAGGATGGAGTGGCTTGGGTTGTGGGGTCTAGAAGAACTGAGTTTGAAGCCTGCCCTGTCACTCTCTGCTTGTGTGATATTGGACAGGTCGCTTAATCTCTCTGGGCTTTAGCTTCCTTATCTGTAAAATGGAGATGAACATATCTAGCTCTCATGGGAGTTAGGGCCATTTCTTTTGATGCGTTCCCCAGAAACAGACTGGAGACGAGGGTCCAATGCAAGAGATTTATTAAGGAAGTGCTTCTGGGAAATGGGGATGTTTGCAGGAAGCAAAGCCAGGGTAGCCATTTCAGGCAACGTCCTGCTGGGGGCAGCCTCCGCTTGGTCCTGCAGGGAGCTCTGGGGTGTAAGTGTTTTTTTGTTTTTTGTTTTTTTGAGACGGAGTTTCGCTCTTGTTACCCAGGCTGGAGTGCAATGGTGTGATCTCGGCTCACCACAACCTCTGCCTCCTGGGTTCAAGCAATTCTTCTGGTTCAGCCCCCCAAGTAGCTGGGACTATGGGTGCGCGCTACCATGCCCAGCTAATTTTTGTATGTTTAGTAGAGACGGGGTTTCACCATGTTGAACAGGATGGTCTCAATCTCTTGACCTCGTGATCCACCCACCTTGGCCTCCCAAAGTGCTGGGATTATAGGCGTGAGCCACCGCACCCGGCTGGGTGTAAGTTTTTAGAGCCCATTGGAGGCAAAGGAGTTGGGACACCTCTTGTCCGTGGCCACCAGTGGGAGGAGGAAGGAAGCAAACTGCCTGACTCTCCTGGCTGCTCCTTCCGTGTGTGCAAAGCTGCTGCTCCCATAGCCGGAGGGCAGCCTGCAGGGGTTGCAGTTGGGGACAAAGGCACACTGCCAGTGGGGTGGGGGACACACTGAAATGCACAAGCCCTCCGAGGGCATCCGCCAGTGCACTGCAGGGCTCCTGCGTGATCAAATTAGAAAATGGATGTGATATTTCTTATCTTATTTCTTGCAGTTCTAGAGGCCGGATGTGCAAGAGCAAAGTATCAGCAAGGTTCAGTTCTGGTGCGCCTCTTCCGGGTTGCTGAGGGCTGTCTTCTCATTACATCCTCCCTCGGCAGAAAGAGGGCGAGAGAGCTCTCTGGGGTCCCTTTGATAAGGGAGCTTCCCATTCATGTGGCTCCATCCTCATGATCTAATCACCTCCCAAAGACCCCACCCACCTCCTAATACCATCACATTTGGGGTTAAGATTTCAACATAGGAATTTGTGTGTGGGGTGGCACAAATATTCAGTTCATTGCATGAAAGATTTCTGCAAACTACGAAGTGGGATGCATAACGCTGGTTCTTGGAGCAGCAGTAATGACACAGGGCTGTACTGGGACTGCCCCCGCCCCCACCCCCACTCTACTGGCATGAAACAAAAATGAAGAGGGAGTTTGTTTGACACATTCTAATTCTTTGGAGGCAGGGTCAGGCTAATCCTGGGGTCAGGTCCTAGGTGCTGAGCCTCACTGGTGGACAGTATCTGGGGCCAAAAGCAGGGACAATGTGTTGAGCCAGAAAAGCTGAACTTGTGGCTAGATTCAAAGTGTAACTTTCCAGGGACAAAGGGAACTGGGTGAGAGCAGGGACAGAGTGAGGTGGCAGCCAGGCAGGAGAGGCCAGGATGGCCGAGGATGACTAGGACAGGGCTCTGGAGCTCCTCAACCTGGGGGTGGCTGTCCCCACATGGGGTGAAGGTCAGAGTGCATTGAAGGAACATCGCCAAGACCCTTTCTGTGACAAAGGGCAGAAACCCAACTCAAACTGGTTCAAAGAGACAGGGAATTGATTAGCTCACATAAGGAGAATCAGATGTGGCTTGATCCACGGGGGACCAGTTAGACTCATCAGGAGCCAATCTCTTTCTTCCCATCTCTGGGCTCTGCTTCCTATGACTCCACTCTCAGCAGCTTCCCTCACAGTGGTGAGATGGTGGTTGCCATGACAGATTCACATCCTGCTGGCTTTCCTTCCAGCAGAGAGACAGAGTCCCCAGGGGAGACATCACTTTCCAGTGCTCCCTTTCGAGTCTGGACATCTATGCTGCTTGCATCTGCCTGGTCGTGTAGTCACTGGGGTCAGGGGGTTGGGAGGTCACCACTGGCCAGTTCAGAGCCATGCACCCACCTTCCACGTATCATCGTGGTCATGGGGCATTCAGGCTACCCAGCCCAGGATGGATCGACAGGGTTGAGGCTCCCCAAGAGGAAATAGCATGCTTTACTGAAAGGAGTGATGACGGATGCTGGGAGTCCAAGACCAGCATGCACCTACCCCAGGAGCCATGTCTGAGTTCTTGAGATAAGTACTAGGGTGCCAGGCCCCAGAGGCACCTGCAGGGGCCACACAGGGAGGCGCCTTTTCCACTCAGAAGGGCCCAAAGAAGTATAGGGCACCACCTGGGCATTCCCTGTGGGCAGTGGTCTCCAGCTAGTGTCACCAGCGTGTAGACTTGGCTGGTTAGCCAGGTGTCTTCTGAAGCTTAGTCTCAGGGGAGGACTGAATCCTGCAGCCCCAACCATGATCATGACACAGGGACTTTGAGCCTGGACACTGAGCACTGTGAGGGCAGGAGCCAGGTGTATTCTTGTCTGTCAAGCTCAGAGTAGAGACTCAGTGAGGGAAAGAAGGAAGAAAGAAATGAATGAATGAATGTATGATGCTGTTTCCAAAAGCACTCAGGGACAAGACAACACTCAGTAAGAACTGAGTACAAATCTCTCTCTACCCAGAATCTTAGGGTGGCCAGACATGTCGTCAGGTCACCTCTCTGAACTGTCACCCTACCCTGAGCACTGGCACCACCTCTCCCCTGGGGATAGGAGTGACATGTTGTCCTCTCCAAAACTGCATGCCCCTCCCTCTCCAGCCCACACTTTCTTTCCCCCAACATTTGTCTCTATTCCATAGCGCATACTTTCACTGTTCCTTTCTTTTTTTTTTTTTTTTTGTTAGAAAGTAAGCTTTGATCTTTATTTCTTTATTGGCTTCTTGTCTACCATCGCCATCAGAAGGGTGGGGACTTTGTTTGGTTCACCATACACCCCGAGGGTCTAGAACAGTGCCTGGCTCATAGCAGGTGCTCGGTCATTTGCTTATCGAATGAACAAGTACATGAGCTTCAGTTTCATTTTCTAAAAACTGGAGGCTTGTTTCTCTGGCGTTCTGGTCTAGAGCCCTAGCCTGGTTAGGTGGCCCTCCTCAGCCCCTGCCCGTTTCAGGCTTCTCACTGTCACGCAGTTACAACCCGTTGTCTTCACCTGATCATTTGCCTCCCCCACCCCCCACAAGACAGAAAGTAGGTGCCCTGCCTGGTTGTGCTTGGGGCTGGGGAGGGGCTGACAGAGGTCAGCTGTCCAGAGGATGGAAAGCTGGAATGGAAAGTGCTTGCAAACCCTCAGGGCAGTGCGGTGCAGATGCCCGTTGCCGTGGTAGTTAATATTATTTGTGCTGCCTGCGGAAGAGGCCGCAGCAGCTGCCTTGTATCGATATTAATCGTGGGGCCATCTCTGCTGCCTGGTAAGGCCGGCACCCTGCAGGAGCCTGAGCTGCTGGAAGCCAAATGGAAAATCCCCAGCAATGGGAGGCTTTGGAGACCATGGGTAGCAGGCAGCTAAATAAACAGGCAGCCTCACCAGAATCACTAAGGGGCCCATCCTGGTCCTGGCAACCTGTCTCTCCCCTTCCTCTTTTCCTCCTCCACCCCAAAGGCTCAGGCAGCTCTGGGGAGCGATGCAGGGCCTGGCCACTCCAGCAGGCGCTGAAGGAAGGCTGCGGTGTTCATACCCACCCCCCTCATTAGTTCACTGATTGAAAGCCTGACACCCCTATCCCTGGGCTGGGCCCTGGGAAACGCACAGGGGTGAGCCAGAGGAGGAATTAGCCCTTCAAGGGTACACAGCTAATGGGGGGCCGGCTCATCCCCAGGAGGGGGAAACACCCCACTAGCCACAAGGTAACTGTCTCCTGGACTGAAGGGAAGAGCTGTGTTTGTTGGAACCTTTGTTTCTTCACAGGCCCCACATTACAGACGGACATTCTGCTCCAGGAAATCTGCACCGTACCCTTACAATACCAGGGCTGACTGGGAACGGGCACATTGCGTGAGAATGTACATGTTTGGTGTTTAGAACCCTGATTGGTAAAACCAAAAATTCAATTAAATGCTACAGTGGGGGGTGGGGCAGGAAACTAGGGACATGTTGTGGCCTGGGCTGGATAGGCTGTGGCTTCCTGAGACATAAATTCAGCAGCATTGGACCAGGGATGCCTCCTTTTCTTGAAAAACCTTGCTGCTAGCCATTTTTGCTGTTTCAGAATGATGCTTATCAGTCTTAAGGATGCAGTCCATTGGGCATGTGAAAGCCTCTGCCATCTTTGCAAGGCACACAACTGGGAGGGAAACCCCAGGTTATCAGCCATGCTGGTGCAGAGTGCAGGTGCCATCCAGCGAGCTAGGGAAGATGCCAAAGGGGCAGGTGCAAGAGGCAAAATCAAGAGCCCCTTGCCAGTTTTCTTGCTGCCTCCCTGCTCCAGAAACTGCAGCTCTCTTTACTCGAGAACCAGCCCTGCTTCCCTGTGGCCAATGGAGGCCCATGGTCCACCATGGCACCCACCCTGACATTCAAGGCCCCTTCCAGCTGCTGTATCCCCTCATCAGCCACAGCTCCACTGCTGCCTTGACCTTCATCCAGCCTGGCCTTCTAGCCCGACCCCCATACCCCCTCTACTGTGCACCTGCTTCTGCAGATTCCATACCAAGTTGAGTCTTGCCTTCTCCAGGCAGTCCTCAGTGATCTCTTTAATTGCTGCCTACAAAGTCCATGCACCACTTGACATTATGAAACACCTTCTTTTTCCGGCTGCATCCCCTCCCTTGGCTCCCTGATTGGTTGGGCTGTTGGCAGGCTGGGAACAGCCAGGCCCTGGTCTCTCCTCACCCAGCAGGCCAGCCCTTGCTTACACCCTCAGGGTTCCAAAGTCCAAACAGAAAAAGGCATCTTGAGGCCTAAGCCCAGAACTGACCCAGAGTCAGGTTTCCAGTCCCGGTTCACTTGCTACCTGGCCTTGGGCAAGAAACCTCTGTGTGCCTCAGACTCCTCATTTGTAAAATGAGGATTAAGTGAGTTAATATGTGTGTAAAGAGCTCAGAGCTGCTTCAAACACCTACTAAGGGCTATGTGAACGTTTGTTATTATCCGTGAACTAATAAAGAAAATGATACGTTCCATGTTCCTGGTAGTGTTGAAATGTACGGGGCTGATCATTCAGGTATCATTCACTCATTCACAGAATATCGGGTGTTTGCTATGAGCCGCACACCGTGCTGGATGGTGGGCATAACATGTGGAATAAGATACACTTTGCTCTTAGATGGCTCAGAGGATTGGGCAAACTGAATGTAGCTTCTGTGACTTGATTTGATCAGGAGGTGATAGGGAGGAGGGGCCCCGCTCTGCCTCAGTGGGGCAGGAAAAGCATCAGAATGGAGGTAATGCTGGGGCTGAGCCTTTTAAAGCTGAGTAGACCGTCTGCTTTATATAAGGCACAGATGAGAACCACACACACAGGAGTTTATGTTTACTTCTTTTCTCTTTTCAATGATCATAATAGAAAATGACAATAGCAACAACACTAACAAAGTGAGAAGATTTCACAGCTACATTTTTACATAAGGTTAGATATCTTTAATCAAAAGAACGCATTGAAATCCTACATTAAGAAAGAGTCTTCACTGTAGAAAAGTCAGTGATCGCATGGTGAAACCAGGCGTTGGTAACCAAGGATTCCAAGAGTAGTTAAAATAGCTTTTTATGAAGTCAACTGCTTACATTTACAGGGTGGATCATGAAAACACCAGTAAGACACAGAAACATTTCCGATGCTCTCGGCATGAAGAACTGGTATCTGAAGAGCAGCAAGTTACAAGAATAGGTTTCTTCAAAAGTTTAAATAGTATAAATAATATTAGTATGCCTTCAACTGGCGGAAATAGGACCGGGCAGGTGGACAAGGGTCGGGAACAAGAGAAGACACAGATTTGCTCACAAGTTGCTACCCAGTACTCCCACACCCACTCCAATCCTAAGCTTTTCCCTAAAGGTGCTCCTCAGATGCACTGGTGAGGGGCCAGGTCCCTGGAGGTCCCAGAGACACAAAGTCAAGGGTGGAGAAGTTCAGCCCCACACTCCCATCCACTTTGTTGGGTTTTCTCCCTCCAGTCTGGGGGTCCCCACAAATGCCCAAGATGGTGAAAACAGGGTCACATGGATTTCCAAGAGACTCATATGACATGCTGGGAGTTCCAGATCACTGCCCTCTGCTGGCATTATTTGAACTCAGGGCAGTGACCAGGATCTCTGATGTTGCTCAGAAGAGCTCTGATTTATTCAATGACTCACAAAAGTGAAAAGCATGCATAGTTTTGAAATCAGAGATACGATGGCTCAGTGCAAGGTCCTCCAACCTTGGCACTATTGGCATTGGGGGCTGGATGATTCTTATTTGCGGGGGGCTTCCCTGTGCATTGTAGGATGTTTGGTGGCATCCCTGGCCTCCACCCATGAGATGCCGGTAGCCATCCCCACAGAGCTGTGAGAATAAAAAATGTCTCCAGACGTTGCTGATGGCCCCCAGCCCTTCCTTGAGAACGACTGGCCTCATGGAAGCCACCACTAAGTCTCCCAGTGAAAACTCCATAGTTAGGTATCCTGGGCTCAAGACCCCTCTCTCCTGAAAAGCTCTACCTGACAACACTCCCAAGCCTCTCACAGACTCAGTTTCTTCAAGGCAAAAGTTTGGAAGCTCCCTTCCTGCCAGCGTTACTAAACCCTTATCAGAACCATCTGCCTTGCTGGGACAATGCGTTGAACAGCAAACGCGGTGACGCTCTGGTTCTTAAAGAAACTGGCAGAAAGACACCAAGTGAGACAGATACAGGACGCACAGGGGAGCTGCTTAGCCACGTGGACAGGGGCTCAGTGTGGAATGGGCTCTGGTTCCCCCAATAACCGGGGCCTGCAAATTCCCTGCAAGTATGCTGTGTATATCTGTCAGGATTTATTTCCAAGGCAGAATGGACTCAAAACCTCCTCTTGGAGAGCAGGAAACCGGTTTGAAAAAGGACCTAAGAACAGTTGACTGCCTTGCCAGATGTCTGCATGGAGCCGTCTGGGCAGGTGCGAGACTGCCACCATGGTCAAAAGACCAGTGTCCGGACCCCCCGGGGACAGCACCACCCGTGCAGCCTCTCCAAGGACCTGTGTCCATGTCGTTCTCTGCTTTTATTTTCTGTCTTGATAATCAATGCATGACTTCTACAGTGACTCAGAGCACACTATACACTTATATTTCAGAATTTATGTAGTCAATTTTGCGTACGTTCTGGCTCTTCCATTGTGCTTCTGGCAGTAACTGTTTTCTCGCTCCAGGCGAGTCTTCAGTCATGATGGTTTGCATTGCTTTGTCCTTTGTTACTTTCCCTCCTCCTCAAAAAGAAACCCAGTAAATGCTCAAGATTTGATTTCAGAAGGATGCACTGGGAGTACGTGGGTGCTATGATAATTCTGGTTATCCAGATTTTTCAGAGAGGTCGCTTTTCCTGCTTGGAAGCTGCGGACTCTGTCCCTCTGGGTTCTCAGTACTCAGTTCAGCCACCTTCTCCTCCATCCTTCTCACTGAGTGACCAAGGTCAGGGGCCCATGGAGTGGGCCGGGATGGGAGGGGTTGGAGCAGGTGAACATAGAACATTCAGGCTCCGACTGGTCCCTTTGGCCCCCTGAGCAGAGCTCCCTGGACCTCCCTGTCACAGCAGCTCAGCCAAACCCTAGGACTTGCTCAGGAACAGTCACTGGGCATCTGCCAGGAAGCAGCAAAGGGGGCCAGTGGCAGCTGCAGTGAGCACAACCCACCTCGGAACCGGCGCAGGTAATCCCGGGAAAGCCCTTTGTTTCCTACCAAATGTACAACATGCTGGACCACGGACTTCTGGGCCAGGTGCCCAGAAATTTGTCAGCTCTCCACTAATTTTCCACGTGGCCTCAGCTGCTCTCCCTGAAAAATTAAAGGTCCCAATTAGATGCTCTCTATAGCCTCTTATCAGTCTGAGGTTCTGAAACCGACAAATCCATGTGCACCGCTGCCTGCCCCTTTCCTGGACTTACACTTGACTGTGGCAATCTGGCTACAAGCTCTTGAGGACCAAACCAAACCTCAGCCCCAGCCTCTGAGGTCCCATATCCCAGGATGGTCCATCCCAGGGGGACCCTGGGGGGCATGGATGCAGGGTGCCTCTGGAGCTGAAGAACTGGGTCTGAACCACGGCTTCTTAGCTATGAGCAATCAGCCCTGGCCTCAGTGTTTTCCAAGAAAAACACGACAATAATTAATGTGCATCTCTCTGCATCCCCATTCCTGTCCCCAGGGGCAATTTGAGAAGTAAATGGGATACAAATAGAACAACAAAAAGCGGGGCAAAACTGGCAGCAGTGGGAACAAACAATAACTGGTAATAATACTACTGCTAGTAACGAAGGCGGGTCACGCTTCTGAAGAAGGAAAGTGCCATTTGTCTTGCAGGGCTCAGGCAGCAGTGCTGACAACAGGCAGACTGGCCAACCTTCTTCAGTCTCCAGAGACCCACCCCAGGATACGCCAGCGTGGTCTGGCGGGCCTCCGAGACTTCCAGCTCAGCCCGGGCTGGAAAAGTGCTGCCGTCCCTCCTCCCATCCTTTCTCCCTAGATCCTGGGGGATCTGAAAGTAGAAAGAATAATTTCTCTCTGGGGGGTGGAGTGGAGCTGGGAATCTTATTTGTCTCTTGACCTTGGTTTCACGGGAAAGGGGAAGGACAGCGTTGGCTCGGAGTAGAAAGGGCTGCGCCATCATCCTGCCTGGGTCCCTGGAGGCACAAGTCCTCTTAAGACAGGCCTGGCCACAGCAGCATCTGGCCTCTTCTCAAAGTCCTCCAGTGGCAGCCACTCACAACCTCACAAAGCAGCAAGCTGCTCTTTTTTTTTTTTTTTTTTTTTTTTTTGAGACAGTCCGTTCTATTGCCCAGGCTGGAGTGCAGTGGCGCGATCTCGGCTCACTGCAGCCTCCACCTCCCGATTCAATCAATTCTCCTGCCTCAGCCTCCTGAGTAGCTGGGATTACAGGCACACGCCACTACGTCTGGTTAATTGTTGTATTTATAGTAGAGATGGGGTTTCGTCATGTTGGCCAGTCTGGTCTCGAACTCCTGTTCCTGCCCACTTTGGCTTCCCAAAGTGCCGGGATTATAGGCATGAGCCGCTGCATGCAGCCTAAGTTGTTCTTTTGAATCAAAAGTGTCCCACACACAAACACAGGTGAGGGACACCTAATCGCTTGCAGAGGAGCAATGGAGGGGCACATAGAGGGGTGATCACAGAAAACATTCCAGAAAAGGCAGGACCCTTTCTCTGAGGTGCAGCTTTTAACAGGCAAGCCTCTTCTTAGCACTGATTCATTAAATCTAGGTGGGCTCTGGGGTCAGGAGAAGCCAGAACAGAGGTCCCAGCTGAAGTCTGAGTCAGGGGGATCCCTCTCCCCTGCCCTGGGGAGCCTGGGGTCACCCTGCAGAGCAGGGTGGCCCCAGGACTCTGACTGCCAGTTCCGGCTGCAGTGAGCCTTTTTCTATGTGTGAGTGCTTCTGTTGGGCTCCTGGGTGTTGGCCAGGTTGGGGGGGGTCCCCTTCTGTTTGCATCCCAAGAAAACCGGTCTCTGGGAACTTCACTGGGGCCTTCCAAGGAGACTTGAGTTGAACCTTAAAGAAGGGGCAGGCCTCAGGGACCAGCACCCCTGAAGTCCGGGCAGAGAGAGCACTGGGCGGGACGTTGAGCGTGTTCCACTCTGACGACGGTCAGGAACCTGTGGAAGCCAGAGCTGGCCCAGGTCACACCATGATGTGGCATCCTGAGAAACAGATTCTGTAGATTCAAGCCCTGGTGTAAATGTGCCCTGGAGGTGCCACCCAGTCGCAGAAGGCAGTACGGTGTGGCAGAAGGAGCCTGGTTTTAGAGCCCAACTTCTCAGGTTCAAATCCTAGCGTGTCACTTTCATGCTTGTAAGCTCAGGAAGGTGACTTCACTCCTCTGAGCCTCTAGTTCCTTACCTGTGCACTGGGACAATGATGCTGTGTGGTGATGGTAAGGAGTTCATGTGCACGCAAGTCCGGTGGCACCCGGACACAGTACTTGAGCAGTGAGGACCGGCATCTTTTTCCCCTTCCGAACTGCTAAGATGGACTCCCGCTGAGGCAGGAGGGAGAGCGCAGCTCACTCTGGCTGGAAATCCATCCTTTGCTCCTTAATCAGACACTAATGGGCATATCTATCCTCACTGTTATTTGAGAGATGGTGGTAAGAAGTTGATAAAGAAACCATAGGAGACCAAGACGGAGCAACCCCGAGGAAGTCACTCATCTGTGCAACGCAAAGTGGACGAGTCTCCAATACCCTGAATCATCTACTGCTCTGACGCTGAAGATGGGGAGAGGCTTGAATACTGAATGTAACTGACATTTAGGTCAGGGGTGGGGGCTGAGGGGCCTCCACAGGGAAAAATCCTGCAGCCAGAAGCACCCAGTGCCTGGGATGCTGGAGACGTCTTCAGCGCTAGAAGCCATTCTTTTCTCCTGTCTTCTCCTCCCTTCACTGGAGCAAACATAGAACCCTCTCTCCCTACTGCCATCTCCATGGGCCACTGGAGGCCAGAGAGCTGCCTCCTGCATCTTTACAAGGGCCAGGGCCTCCTAGGGATGTGGGGTCAGAAGGGAAGATTTGAGCATGTGGGCAGGAGTGACTCCATGTAGACATCAAGCAACCCTGCCTTGGCTCTGGGCTTCTCTCACTGGGCTTTTTCATGGAGACATCCACCTGTTAAAGACCTTGCTTATGGGACAGACCTGGGGTTTGATGGAGAGAGACTGGCTGGAAACACCCATGCACACCATGGCTAACTACCCAGCCCATCCTCCGCCCTGTCAGTGATTCCAGGAGTTCCAGGGAGATGGTCCATGTCCCTTCTCCCTCATTGCCAAGGTCAGTTTCTTTGCACTTGTGACCTCCTCTTAAGCTGAAGCTGGTGGATGACATATGGCGGCAGTGACGGATGTGGCCAGTAAGAACGGGTAGCCATGAGCAGGCATTGTGTGGGGCCAAGTTAGTAATCCTATTACCATGGGGCTTCCAGGGAAGGGTGCCGCTTCTAGACAACTAAGGTGTCCCTTTGCCTGTCATCAAGAACACTCATTTCTCCTGAGACCATAGTGGCAAGTCCAGCTTTTTTGTAATTTTCCCTAAATATACACAGGGCTTCCTAACCAGCTTTTTAAGTTTCTCTATCACAGAGGGGGTTGCTGATGTGATTTTTCTGTTTTTGCAGTGTAGAAAGTGAAGAGAAAACCTCTCTGGCCCTAGAGGTGAGTAAGCCCCTTTTTGGGATTTTTCCAGATCCATCTGCATGGGAAGGCTGCCTTGGGAAGGTGTGGGGGGCGGGGGTGAGTTCTGTGCAAAAGGAAGAAAGAAAAGTGGGCCCTTCTCTATGGATTTTTACTTGGAAACTTCCTTGTTTGCCAGGCCCCCAGATGCTGATTTTTAAGAATTTAGGGAAGTGGCTTGGGCAGAAGCACTCACAGCTGGAGGAGAGTGCACGGTATCCAAACTGAGCGTAGAAGATGGTATCTGAGCGGCCTGCCAATCCTGCACCCACCTTCAAGATGCCTGGACATTCTCCTGAGGGCAGCTTCTCAGGAACCTCCTCAGGGAAGTGCTTAGATGGGGCAGAGAGAGCAGTGAGCTGGGAGTGAAGACACATCTGACTCCTCCACAAACTACCACAGGTGAATTACCCCCCTTTCTGACCCATCCATTGAATCATTTAGTGGACATGAACCTTGTTCATCTCTAAAATTCCACAATTCCTCAGAGAAGAAAGAGCATCTTCACATGGGTGGCCTGAAGAGTCCACGGCCTGGCAGATCTAGCTCTTAAAGACATCCTCTCCTCTTCTTAGAAAGAAGAAAAAGTCCGACCAGCAGGTAAAAACCACCACTGACACCCCCAGAAACCCCATCTTATTACCAGTAAACCCCCCATTCCCGGGTCTCCTGATGCACTTGGGTCTTGGAAAGGGCTGGGTGTCTCATGGCAAAGGTGCCACTTCAAAGTCAAATTAGGACCATCCAGTGGCCCTATTGAATGGCCAAGGGGCTGAATGTGAAACCAGAATTGGGTGGGGAATGCTGAAATTCTGAGGGCTGCTCTTGCCCCAGTACCCCATGCCCTAAGTTTGAATAAAAACAAGACACACAAGTGATTATTTACCACCAGCAAGCGATCGTCAAACCATGTCTATGTTTTAAACCTAACTAGCTGCTCCATCTGGTCTCCTGTTCTTGGAATGTAGTTTCGAGAATCCCCAATCTGCCTTCTGAAGGCTTTTCCCCGTCATGCCTCTAGGAGCAGGAGGCCTATATTTCCATGTTTTCTGACTCAGTTTGACCACAACGTGGGATATTTGAAATCAGGGCTGCCAAGGGAAAATTCCAGAAGGACGGCCGCTGCCCCTGGTCAGAACTCCTGGTTCTAGAACATGGGAGCAGCCAAAGGCCAACAGCAAGACAGAGCCACATGCCAAGCCTCACCCCATGGTGGTGCAGAGTGCGCCATCCTCAGAAGGTGAAGGCGTACACCACGCCCACCACCACGATGTTCCCCAGCGTGGCTATGATGGCAATCCACAGCAAGACGGCGTCGTTGGAGGATCGAGGAGGATCTTCCGGCTGGCCCTGGCCGTTGGAGGCCGCGTGGACATTGGCAGAGGAATTAAACAGGGAGTACTCAGTGCTGAAGTCCTCATTGGGTGAGTCCATGAAAGCTCCTCCCATCATGGGCAGCTGCGAACAAGGAGAGAGAATTATCCAGGGCCACAGGGACTTAGGCAGATGTACCCTCCAAAAGGAAAGTGACCTGGTTAAACAACCTCACATGAAGGTACCACTTCTACTGACCTGCCAAATGGGGCTTTGCTTTTGTGATTTTATAACGGATGGTGCATATGATCATCTATAAAAATTAGTGTGCCCAGCATCCTTTCAAGGCAGACGTTCTCATGCCCACGCTACTGTGAAAGCATCAAGGAGCTCGCCCAACAGCTAGCTGCTGACTCACCAGCACTCACAGCAACCCCTCCAGCCATTGCCCTCCCCCCATGCCAGGCTCCTCCACGACAATATGAGTTGTAAAGCTGTAAAATGCCTTCATTCCGTGTGTGTGTGTGTGTGTGTGTGTGTGTGTGTGTGTGTATTTTTATTTTTAGTAGAGAAGGGGTTTTACTATGTTGGCCAGGCTGGTCTCAAACTCCTGACCTCAGGTGATCCACCCTCCTCGGCCTCCCAAAGTGCTGGGAGTACAGGTGTGAGCCACCACACCCAGCCCTCTTCTAATTTTAAAAATAGCATATGCTTAGCATAGAACACTAAGAAAATATAAAACAGGATAAAACATGAGAATCATAATCCCACCACATAATCACTGCTAACATTTTGACGGTTTTTCTTTCCAATCTTTTTTCTTCTGGGTGCGTGTGTGTGAGAGAAAGAGAGACAGAGAGATAGAACACATTTAGATTTGTTTTTTAATCCCTCTATTAAAATGGCCATCAAAATTCCATTTTAACAGTTGTGTATTATTCAATCACGAACATAAACCAAAATTTAACTATTCTTCTTGAGTTGGAGATTTAGCAATTTCCACTTTTCCTATGAAAAATCATGCACTGATGAACATCCTTGTACATCCATTAGCATGTACATGCGTCCTTGTACACACATTGTTATTTACAACAGAAGGGCTCCCAGACTAAGGTAAAGCCGCCTTTGTTTTACAGTGTACACCTTCTGGTGGAGAGGAACAAATACCCGAGAAGAGTGACCCTAATTCCCGCCGCCCACGCGGCACGTCACTGCACACGGGATGCCAGAATGTTTGCATCCATGGATCAGAACTTCCTATTTCTGTTTCTAAAGGTTCTCTGCTGCACAGACTTCAGGTGGGAGGTGGGGTGCTCCAAGGGAGGGGGTGATACTGGACATAGCAGTGAAGAGGAGGCCCTTCCCTGCCCCAGCCCAGGAGGCCCATGTCCAGGCTTCCCAGCAACCCCCAGGCCTTCTCCAGAGGCAGAATGTGCATGTGCATTCCCAGGCTGGCACAGACACCTATTTGGCCCATAATCGATGTTCTTTTGAAGGGAACCTGAGTGAATGAACACGACACGGTGATGCCTGCATTGGGTGCACAGTTACCGAGCACTGCATGAGACAGTAGTCTCTGTGGAGCTCCTGCTATGGTCAGGGGCTGTGCTAGAGATAGTAAAATACTCTCAATCACTCAACTATCCTGGCAGAGGCTACTGTAACCCCATTTTATAGATGGATAAGCAGAGGTCAAGGCCATAGCATTAATCTGTGGTGGTGTCAGGGTTGAGAGCCAGGAGCATCTGACTGTGAGCCAGGGCACCCCCTGCTCTGCATGCAGCCCCATGGGCTCCAGGGTCAGCCTCCTGGAACATGGGAGGCACACAGGTGCCTGGGCAGCTGCTGTTTAGAAGCTCCCTGGCTCACCTTGAGTCTCACAAGGCTCTTCTTAAAGGATGACCATTACCAGGTCACCAGGTGGTTCCTGAACATCTGCTTCCAATGGGCTTCTGCCAGAAGGCACTCGGCACCTGTATTCCTAACATGGTGCTGTCCTTGAGGGATGGAACAGAGCAGTCGTTGACCTTGGGAGTGCAGTGACTGGGAGGGACTGCTATGGGGCTCAGAGCAGGCCAGGCGCAGTTTCATCGCGGGGGCTGCCGGTTACCATGCTGGGTTCACCTCTCGAGGGGTACATTTTTATGTAAGTACTTCTTATGTGTATAACATATCCCATTAATACATTTAAATTAAATATAATGACCAATGCAAACAAGAATATAACAATGGTTTTTTATGTTAAAAATATAATTATAAGTGGGAATAAAAGAATTGCAGGTGGATGGGTGCAGGTGAATCAGGCACATACCAGCTAATGGACAGCTTCCCCTTGCCTAGGCGACATCGTGAGTGCCCTTGCCCGGCCTGGTGTCCTCTTAGAAAGCAGGCTCAGGGTGGGAAGTAGTGCTTCCTTCCTCTTGGGCATGGTGAGGCTGCGGGGGCTTGTTCTGCCCCCACATTCCCCGGTGGCCCCTGGCAGACTCCCCAGAATTAACCCGTGTTCCTGTCCCTTCCCACTCATTGCATGTCGCTCCTCCCTTGCCAGGACCATGCCACTGGGGGCTCAGACAGATGCCTCCCTGGACTCCACGCGTGGGATCTGACCCACTTTCCCACCCTGGAACTCTCTGGGCATACGTCCCGTCTCTCTCCTCTCTTTAGGGCACATGTGAATGTGATGAGCATTTTCATCCAAATCACTGGGGAAAGAGGAAGGGAATCTGGACAGAGCCTTTTGTGGGGCCCACATGGGCCCTCCCACCCACTGGGTCAGGGAGGTGCCCTCCAGCCTCTGCACCCCTCGTTCCTCTGACTCCCTTCAGATATTTATTTAATGCCTTTGAGCTTCAGTTTCCTCTTTCTGCTGTGACTAGTTACCACAAGACAAGCACAGTGCCTGAAAACAACACCAACTTATCATACAGTTTCAGAGATCTCACTAGACTAAAATCGAGGTGTTGGCACAGCTGCACTTCTTCTGGAAGCTCTAGGGGACAATCTGTTTTCTCACCCTTCCCAGCTTCTAGAGGCCGCCCACATTCCTGGGCTCATGGCTCCTTCCTCCATCTTCAAAACCAGCAGTGTGGCACCTTCTAATCTCTCTCTCATCTTCCAGCCCTGCTTTTAGAAGGGCACTTGTGATGACACTGAGCTCCCCTGGCTAATCCAGGCCGCTCCGCCCATCTCAAAATCCTTAATCATACCTGCAAAGTCCCTTTGGCCATGAATGGCAACCCATCCACAAGTTATAGGAGTTAGGACATGGACATCCTTGGAGGGGACATCATTCTGCTGACCATACCCCAGACTTCTGTTCCAGGAAGGAGTCAGGATGGTGTGCGTAACTGGATCTCCACCTCCCACTGGACAGAACTCTTGAAGGCAAGGATATGGTCTACTCATCACAAACTCTCTCAGCCCAATTCTTAACAAACAGAAAAAAGCAACAAGTAAAAGCATGTGTAATTAATGAATTTGAAATGAGCAGGAGGGCTCCCCACAGGCAGTACTTCATATACCCCAATCATGGAACTCCCAGCTGTGGGACAGGCCTCATGGGGAGTCCTCTTTGTCCTGCACCTGTGGTGGGAGCTCAGAACTGCTAGAGAGAATGGTCAGTGTTGGACGGATTCTGCTGTTTTGGAGCGTGGGAAATGAGGGTGGATTCTGGTGTCAGAAAGCTCGGAGGTAAATCCTACTTTGCCACATATGGTGGACCTTGGGTGAATTACTTACCCACTTGCCTCAATTTCCCTTCTGTAAGTAATGAAGCCAATGCAGTCCAACCAGTGAGATTGCTGCAAGCAGTGAATAAGATCATATGTAATAAAGCATGGCCCAAGACAGTTACACAACAGTTACCAATATTCCTTCCCTCTGTTGTCCTTGTAGGAGAGTATTATATTCATCTCTTACCCAGCTGCTTAAGCCAGAGTGAGGAAATCAGGAACACGGCATTTCTGGTCATGTGATTTTTGTGTGATAGATGACCACTCATGTTCAGTTGTCAGCAGATGGCCGCCCGCGCCCCCCGTGTATGCTGAGACAGGTGGCTGAGAGGCACTCCAAAGCTGGTCAGCCCTGTTTCTCCATCCGTCTATCTCAGGTTTGTTGATTCTATTTTGTTTTGATATTTTTTTCCTTTGTAAAATAGATTCTAAATTGAAAGTGCTGAGTTAGACACAAAAATAACTTAAAACAGCAGGGTCCCATGACTTGAAAAAAATTCAGTCTCAATTCCATCATTTGGAAGTTTCAAAAATTTGATCAGGAGCTGGCTTGTGGTCAGAATGAGGGGTGTTGGCTGAGGTCATCTTGGAAGCAGGTGGCGAGAGAATGTCACTCTCAAAGCCCGCCCAACCAGCTCCGGTCTATTTTAGCCACTTTTAAAGATGCCCTTCTGGTGCAGCATGCCACTGCTGGAAATGAACAACTTGGCTTCTTACACCAGCGGGCAGGGGTGGCCACCGGCCTTCGAGAGAACGGCATTCTTGGATGAGGTTTTGACTCAGAGCAGATGTGGGGGTGTGACCCTTAACCTTAAACCCTAAAAAGCTACTGCGCAGAAGAGAGTGGCTTAAGGGGGCAGAACAAGAAAACGGTCTCCTGACACCAGCAAGCAGGACAACATAGGATGACCTGGGGAGTGATGGGGGGCTTCTTTCCCTATCAGAGAAGATATTCACATCAAGATTAAAAAAAAAAGTTGACTGGGCGTGGTGGCTCATACCTGTAATCCCAGTGCTTTGGGAGGCCATGGTGGGAGGATTGTTTGAGGTTACGAACTCAAGATCAGTCTGGGTAACATAGTGAGACTCCATCTCTACAAAAAAAAAAAAAAAAAAAACTATCTGGGTGTGATGGTGAACACTTGTGGTTCCAGCTACTAGGGAGGCTGATGTGGGATGATTGCCTGAACCCAGGAAATGAAGGTTGCAGTGGGGTAGGATGGCACCATGGCACTCCAGTCTGTCTCAAAAAAAGAAAACAAAAAACACTGTTGGCTTGTTGAAGAGAGAAGGCTGTATTTTCTGCCTACACCTTTCAGAAGGCAGGATCTTCCACAGGATCACAGTATCCCCAGTGCCTGAACCGGAGCAGCACTCAAAAAATATTTGGTGAATGAATGAATTCTAGGACCATCCGTCCAGAATCCTGAGGGCATGATGAGATTTGGCCCCAGGGCCAACATTGTCTCGTGGTGTGATCTAGACCCGTTTCTTAACCACCTCTGAGACCGCGGTTTCTCAGTCAAAAAAAAGGAAAATAATAAAGACATCCTCATGGAAGGGGGCTGCTGGGAGGTTCTTAGCACTGGATGAAAAAGGCTTCTTGGGGAAAAAGGCAAATCACAGAATAAACTCAGATAGCATTCCTGATCAAAAACACGCGTGCATAATATTATCATGTATTACGCATGGATTTATACATAAGTTAGTAAAAGTACCAACATAGACTGTGAAGCCAGATTCATGATGGCAGCTACCTCTGGGAAAGGGGGCGATGGGAAAAAGGAGACTGATTTCATCTGCAGTCATTTCTTATAAGGCAAGACAAGGCAAACATGATAAAATATTATAAATGGCCTATTCTGGTCAGTGGGTATATGAGTGTCTGTTATTTTTTGGCATTTTTGCCTTGAAATTAAGAGCAGTGCATTGAGCATTGGAGCGCACCACACACGTGATGGTCACAATTGATCGTGGCCATGGGACTGAGTGTTCTCTGAATTCAGGAGGGTGTCCCAGGCTCAGGGTCCCTGCCCCGCAGTGTTGGGACACTGTGTGGCATGTGGTGGCTGAGTGCAGTGTGTGGGGGGGTGCCAGGTGGTTGGGCTATCGTGGACAATGAGACAGCCTCTCACGGAAGCCTCAGAGGGCCCTGCCTTCCAGACAGTCTCCACCCTGCTCCCAGAGTAGAGCTGCTCCAAGGAGTAAGGAGGCCTTTAGATCTCCACCTGTTCCTGTAAGGAAGAGACAGTAATATAATTCTCCCCTAAGCTGCACCTCTACAAAGAAAGGAACAGAAAATGCTTTCAGAAGGAAATCTTTAAAGCGTGGTTATCAGAGGTGACCCTGGCAGGCCTTTCAGAGGACAGGTAAACATGAACCAACGGAAGTGTGATTGTGATGGCTTCTGATACGGGGGCCACCAGACCCTCCTCCCTTAAGTGTATTAAGTGCCCAGCTTGACCTCACCCATCCTGCAGCACCCTGGCCCAGAACAGCTAAAATCTGATGCTCCTGGGCAGTGAATTTTAGAGTTAAATTTGTTTGGGGGTAAAGACAACTATGTCCCCAGTGGGCTGTGCTGCTCCCACGCTGCACTGGGTCTGGAGACCTGAGATCTGGCCCTGCTCCAGCCCTGCCTCATCTTGGAGCCTTACATACTGGGAAGCGGCTTGGTTGGGGTTATAGCTAAGGTCAGAAGTCCCTGCCTAATACTAAGAAGGCTGAAGTCAGTTATAGACTATAGACGGGCCTAAAGTGAGTACCTGTGTGGCAAATATTGCCCTATAAACCTTCAATAAAATTCTCAAACAAAATATAAGTTGCCCAGTTAAATTTGAATTTCAAATAAACAACACCAAAACTTTTAACATAAGTATAGCCCACATATTAGCATAAGTATATCCCACATATGGCATGGGCTATACTTATCCCAAATAATTATTTGTTGTTTATCTGACAATGAAATTTAACTATGCGTCCTTTATTTGCTGCATCTGACAACTCTATGTGTGGCTAATCTAAAACATAGCAGCAATTTCAGAATTTGCCCAAGGGACCATGCCTTCAGTTTTGTCTCTTCAGAAAGCACCGTCTGTGACTCAGGCTCTCTGGGGGACCCGGCACATTGGAAATCAGCAGGAATTGCTGGGAGGCTAGGCTCTGAAAGGTACGGTGGCCTCCTGACCTGGGACGGGCAGGACGGCAGGACCATGCACAGGCAGGCAGGTCTTACTGAAGGGATGAGTGGTGCCTGAAGAGGCCCCAAAGGGGGATGTGAGATGCTGATGCCAGCCAGCCCAGTCTGCCTGCTGGACTGGGTCACTCCTGTTGCTGGGTCTGTTCCCTGTCTCAACACGAGAAATCCAGCCTGGGACCCACAGGACCATTTTGACAATAGGTGAATATGATAAAAGGCGCAGATAGAGTAAGCCCACCCCACTGCAGATTACAGCTCAGGACCCTAGGCAGGTGCAGACAAGCAATGGCAGAGGACCCTGACAAGAAGGCAGCAGCAGCTGGCTCGGGGAGAGAAGACAACTCTGGAGAAAGATGGACATTGTGAGCTTACTGGGGTTTTGGCCTTTTTTATCTCCCAGGATTGAGCACAAAAGCTCTAGGAGAAACACCCTCTCTCTAGAGAGGAGACCGAGAAGCCAGGCTCTTGTGAGCTGACAGTTTGAAGGGAATCCCCAGTTTTTGCTTGTTTTCTCTCCTGGCCCTGCCTCTCAAGGCAGTGTCAGTTGTTGAGCTGTGTTGCCACGGTTGTGATGGCAGCAGGGACAGTGACCTAAACACAAGAGAAAACCCTTCCCGCTGGCCAGAGGAACCTGGGGAAGGGCCCCACAGTCTGAAGAGTGTGGGGGCTCCCTTGATCTCTTCCATTTTCTCTTACTGCTTTGCCCACAGGGTGCCCCGGCGGTGAGACCTGTGCAGCAGCACAGGAGGATGCAGCAGGCAGAAATGCTGGCTTTGCAGCCAGCGGGTTAGGCAGACAGTGTCAGGGAAATCCCAGCAGGATTCGCTCATTAGCTATCGTTAGTGTATTTTACATGTGGCCCAAGGCAATTCTTCTTCTTCCAGTGTGGCCCAGGGAAGCCGAAAGGTTATGTGAACCTGTACACATTTTGGGTCACCCCAAACTGCATGCACGGAATAGATTCAAAGAAGCACTGTAAAGGCTCTGATAGCTGAACTATGGCACAAATCCCTGCCGTGTCGAGACTGATCCCTCTAGTGGTGCACCTACAGGACAGACCCAAATGGCATTGCAAAGGCTTTATAGTCTGAATGGCATGCAACCACTGCTTATAGGAGGCGACAGAGAATTTTCAGGTCAGACCCAACCTGCTAAAACAAAGCAATGTTCTAACATTTTTAACACGATGCAGTGTACTAGTTTGCTCTGGCTGCCGTAACAAAATACCCAAGACTGGGTGGCTTAAACAACAGAGATTTAGTTCCCCACGGTCCTGGAGGGTGGACGTCCAAGATCAAGGTGTCGACAGGGCTGGTTTCTTCTGAGGCCTCTCTCCTTGGCTTGCAGGTGGCTGCTTTCTCCCCTTGTCTTCACATGGTCTTCCCTCTGTGCATGTCTGTGTCCCAGTTTCCTATTCTGATAAGGACCTCAATCATACAGAACTAGGACATACTCTAGTGACCTCACTTGAACTTAATCACCACCTTTAAAGACACTATCTCCAAATACAGTCACATCTAAGGTATTGGGGGTTAGGGCTTCACCGTAGGAATGGTGAGGGGGCAACAAGTCAGCCCATAGCCCTCAGCATCTCACAACATAATATCCAAAACGCCCAGAATCCAATCCAAAATTATCACACCTCAGCACTTCTCTCTTGGTATAGAAAGAAATAGGAAATCAACAAGGGCACAGAAGACCTGAACACACCATCAACCAACAGGGTCTAATTGACATGTATTGAACCTCCCACCTGACAAAAGAATGCACATTCTTCTCAAGGGCACATGAAATCGTCACCAAGACAGACCATATCCTGGGTCACAAAGCAAACCTTCACAAGTTTAAAGGAATCAAAATCCTACGAAATGTGCTCTCTGATCATATTGGAATTAAACTAGGAGTTAATATTGGGAAAATCTCCCAAGACTTGGAAGCTAAACCACATACTTCTAAATAATCCATGGGTCAAGAGGGAGGTCTCGAGGGAAACTAGCAAATACTCTGAACTGGATACAATTGAAAATACAAGTTATCAGCATGCATTGATGCAACTAAAGCAGTGCTTAGAGAACAATTCATAGCCCTAATTGTTTATATGAGAGAAGAAGAAAGGTCTCAATTCAATCATCTAAACCAAGCTTGTCTGAACCACGGCCCATGGGCTGCATGTAGCCCAGGATGGCTTTGAATGGGCCCAACACAAATCCATCAACTTAAAACATTATGATCCCCTCATCAGCTATCATTAGTGTATTTTATGTGTGGCCCAAGGCAATTCTTCTTCCAATGGTTCCAGTGTGGCCCAAGGAAGCCAAAGGTTGGACATCCCCGATCTAAACTATACCTTAAGAACTTAGAAAGGGAAGATTAAATTAAACCAAAAGCATACAGAAGGAAAGAAATAATAGAGATAAGAACAAAACTCAGTAAAATTAAAAACAGAAACAAAAGAGAAGAATCAATGACTCTACAATCTGGTTCTTTTAAAAGATCAATAACATTGATAAACCTCTCAGCAGACTGAGCAAGAAGAGAGAAAACACAAATTATCAATGTCAGAAATGGGAAAGGAATATATTGCTACAGACTTCACTGACAGCAAAAGGCAGACAGTAAGGAATTACTGAGATGATTAAAAACAACTACATACCCACAGGTTTGACAATGTCGGTGAAATGAATCAGTTCCTTTAAAAACACAAGCTACCAAAACTTACTCAAGAAAAAAAGATAAACCACACAGTCCTTATAGCTATTAAATAAATTAAAGTTTTCATTAAAAATCTGGGAAAAAAAAATCACCAAATGATTTTATTGAAGAATTTATCAAAAATATAAGGAAGAAAAATACCAATTGTAGACATTCTGTTCCAAAAACTAAGGGGAAAGAACA